TTGGTTAATAAAAATAATATGTCACCTTCATATAATGTCAATAATATGTCATATTCAAATAAAATGTCACTTTTATCACTGGTATCATAAATAACTATTTCTGTAAAATACAAACAATTGCAAAGCTCTCAACATTACTCGTTATGAAGATGAAATTTATGTTTCTTTCTTCACATTGGACTGCGTTCGTTATTATTTACGTTTTGCGTGCGTAGTATGTGCGTAGCGTGCGTAGAATGATAAAAACTACGTAAAGTGGATTTATCTTAAAATACTTCAAGTATTTCTGCCATTTTCTTTTATGTAGTGTGCGACAAATTTAATTAAATGGTGTTCAAAACTTTCTCGTTGTTTGGGAGTAAAATGTCTTTCACGTAATCTTGTGTAATATAAAACATACTTGTAATTTGTGTTTGTAAAATACCTCTACTCATGCATTTACACATTATTACTCATTTGAATAATTAGTGTGATATAAAAGTGATATTGTTAGCAATCGCATCTGCCGCAAATATATTTAGTACCACTCAAATGTGTGACGATCCATCCGTATACGTCAACAATAATTTTAATATGTAAATATTTAATTACGAAAGTGACAACAAGCCTAATAAACAAGTGAGGGAGAGATGAAAATAAATCGTTCCTAATTAAATCGAGCCAGATCTGAGAAATGTGATCAATAATAAAATATATGACAGACGCCAATTAAGAACAAAGAACATGCGAATTACATAAACATTATTTTATATACGTAATATTTTGGCGACTAAAACGTAAAAATAATATGAAGTGAAAGACAGTTGAAAGGGCGATAAGAGATTGGTTTAGTCTTCATTTTAGCCAGCGGTAAAGAACAAAAGAATGATGTTAAACTGTTAAACAGCAAGGGGAACGGTAGTGGGCGGCGAAGCGGATAAATAGATCGCTGAATCGCAGGTCGCGAATTTTTTTTTCTTCAAAATTTCAATTCGCATTCAAAGTTTTATGAAATGCGTCTATGGGTCATGAACTGAAGATGGTGATATGGAATAATGGAGAGACACGAAGATTCCTGAGTGGTGATGGACCGAGGGATGGTGAAACATAAGACTGGCTTCGCTGCAGTAAAGGGAAGTGAATAACTTAGAACTTTTGTGCTCGAAATTAATATGACAAGGTCAATTTTGCCTACTAATTAAAAAAGAATTATGTTTTTAATGAAATGACCATAATATCATGCATGCGTAATAGGATGAATGAGTTGTTGAATTAATATTATGAAAATATGTGTGATTGTATACGGATTTAGATGTGAGAGATTTATATTTAGATGATAACCTGATGATGATATTTAGATGCAGCTTTCCGAGAGTATAAAAAACAACAAGAAGAAACCACTGAAATAGAGAAGTGTAAAGAACCAACAGCGCACTCCCACATTAATGATCCCTTTTCAAATAAAGAACTCGCAACTACCATAGGAGCAACTAAAAATACTGCACCCGGCCCTGACATCCCGAATCTCCTCATCAAACACCTACCTACCGTTGGAATGGAAACACTACTCCAAATTTATAACATAATATGGACAAAAAATATATTCCCCGAAATATGGAAGACCGCTTTAGTAATCCCAGTTCCTAAATCTGGAAAAGTCCAAACAAAAACTTTTCATTACAGACCGATTTCCCTAACGTACAAGATGTGCAAGAAAATGGAGAAGATTATTAACACACGACTTTGATGATTTCTTGACTACAATAAGATTTCCAATAACCAGTTTGGATTCAGAGCAGGTCAGTTAACCACATCACATCTAATAAGTACTGACATCATCATCCACGAGGCCTTCCTTAACAAACAACATGTTTTAGCAATATGTCTAGGCATTGAAAAAGCGTATGACATGGTATGGACCCATCATATTTTGCAACCACATTTTTGCTGTTACCCTGAGCTCGCTTATTTACTGGTCGCATTTTGTGTGCATTAATGGATGTGCTAATTGCAATATTTTGATGCTATTTAAATTAAAATAAAACGGAAGCTTTATGGCCCATCGCCTTATTAAGAAAAATTTCTTCCTTATTCTTCATGCCGTTTTCTTGACCGCTACTTCGGTCTTCCGGCGCCTAATCTTCTTCTCCAGTTTTCCCTGTTCTTCCAGGAATCAGGAGGTAATTCCACTTCTCGACTATCTTTCTGATCTGATCGTTCCATCCTGGTCTGCTATTTTTTTCTCCTTTCACTTGGTTGCCGTTCTAAGGATCTTCTGGGGAGTCTTCTCTCGTCCATTCGCTATACATGACCAAACCAAGTGAGTTGTTTCTTTTCAATTTCCTCTATAATATCATGTTGCAAAATCATTATTTCCTTAACCTGTTCATTCCTCATTCTTTCCCTTCTAGATATTGCTGCAGCTCTTCTGAGCAATCTATTTCCAAAGCTCCTCAATTTTCTTTTCTGTTGTTCTGGAAGCTGCCATATTCTGCTCCATACCAATGTAACACTTTCAATCATACATTTATATTATTCTTAATTTTCGTTTCTTGCTTATATTTGATCCAATAACTGAATTCAGGGCTCTAAAATTGTTCTTGCCTTTAATCGTTTCAACCATTCCTTTCCATAAAAACCCTGTTCCTATGTTGTTCCAAGTCTTAATCCTGCATGCTTTATTTTTTTTCCAGTTTCCTAGTCAATACGTCAAGGTATTGTCTAAAGTCCAGTATACTTTTTTCTAGGTGAGCTTAGCCCCATTTCTCAAAATCTTATTTTACTTCCTATTCATTATCTTTTCTCTGCGCCATCGCAACTGATCGTCCCAGCAAACGTAGGTATTAGATTTGTTGTATTATCTTCAAGTGGTATCCCATCCCAGCACCATTTTCTTTCCATTACCTGAACCACCGCCATTAACAAACATTTTAAAGAGAGTATGTGACAAACAGCATCCTTGCCGTAGTCATTTTGATATAGGAAATGTTTGGGTCATCTTTTCATTTCTTCCTTTAGTTTGAGAATTTCAACGAGAAAGAGTGGACAATATGCAATAGTAACGAGAACGAAGGTATGAAGGAATTCATTTTTGCTTGTACACCTGGAAAGAAGTTAGAAGTAGGACCCAGTTAGACAATCTGACTCTTGTTCGTCACGGTCAGTTTTGATCTTTCGATTTAAATTGCTATTTTTGGAACAGCTGGACACCTGTTCACCTGGCCGTGGCCCTGAAGGTATCGCACCATTTTATTTTGAACATCTTGCTGGGGAGCTTCAAACAAACGCTTCGCCGCGGAAGATTTTTATTTACCGTTAGTATTTTGTGAATTTCTTGTTGAACTGCGTGTAGTACTTAATTGTTGGTTATTTTGTTTCGAGGTTATATTGAAAGCCATTATTTGAAATTAAAAGAGGTTTTTTGTTTACTATATACGGGTAAATAATTATTTTAGCAACAGAATTGTTTCTTTGCTAGAGTGTATGTGTTCGTTACTCTATGTAGATCAACATAACAATGAGTTGAAATGAATTTCAACACAATGTTGTTGTTTTTTCTTGCTTCTGAGAGAGTGAACTGTGCACAACATTCTCCAGTAAAGGATAAATCTTTTCTTTTTTTTTAGATAGTACAAATGCCACACATCGATACATTTTTAACTATCGAAAACCCTTGTTGGACTGGATAATCTATCAACTTTTCTTCATTTCGTATAAAACTGTCATTTTTGAGAACTCGAATTATTAAGTTTTTAAAACACGTTCATGACAAAATGTTTATTTTCGATTAGGGGATGAAATATTAGTTGTTTCTGCGTTATATCATACCAGCTCATGAACAATACATTTCCCAACACTTAATGTTTAAAAAGATTGCTTTATTTAAACTTTCTCGTTACCCAAATGTGATCCACATCGTTTTTGATTTGGAGGTTTCTAACTAGCAGTTCCGAATGACTTTTCCAATAGCCAGTCATAAACAAATCACCTTAAAATGTTCTCTCAATTATCTGCCTCCTGAATCTTTTCTAATCTTTTTCATGAAAGATTTCCGCGTTATCCAACCTTAACAGATGAGACGGTAATTCAGTAGTGGTATATTGCTTGGCAGTATATATCGTGATATTAATTATTCCAAAAAGGCGCTGAGAAGACGAAGTTCTTAGTTTGCTTCTCCAGACGCTTCCTTCATTTGTTATCTCTTTCTCTGTGCTTGGATATCTAAATTTCAAAGTCTAAGTCTCGCTATGTTGTATATATTTTCATTCGGCTAAATACAAATGACCAAAAAAGAGAAGACGCCATTCTGTATGAGTATTCAAGTTAAGTGCGTCTTATTTTCCTTCATTTAAATTTCTTATTCTAAAGGAGATTTAGAGACTAATATCTAAATATCGTAATAAAATATTTCTTGTTTACCCCTGGATAATGTACTGAATAAATGAAATTATGTGAAAATGTAAGAAAAACCAAGAAGAGGGAGTAATTTGTGAAGCGAAATTGCCTTTCACTTGTCACATGAAACCTTCAGATGATATGAAGCCCCTCTCTCGTACACTATTTACTTGTAAGATGGGTTGGTGTAAAACGTCGGAAAGACGGAATATGCAATAAATGTGATATTCAAAGTATGGAACCGGAATGTCTGCCACCCCGTTAGAAACAGGAAATTGCCTTTGTTTTGCTCTGAAACATTTTATGGCTTAAAGTACAGTTCTTCATTGTTTATGCTCATATCTGCTGGAACCGCCGTTATCACATATCGCTAATGCTGGTTACAACATTGTGTGTACTCATTGTTTTATAACTGTTTTCATTCAGGGATAACAAAAATAATATTACCTTCATAATGACGCCAAAGCGAAGTCAATATCCTCTTGAAAATTGCTAGTTGAAGCTTTGAGAGGGTACTTCTGCAGCAAGTGGTTCACGAAAGGAGGCGATTAACAAGTGGTTCCTGATTCATAAGTGATTTTCGTGGCAGTGAATGTCATTTATTCGCATTTATTATTCCGTTGCAGGTCATGATGCGATGTAGTCTCGTACTTCGCAGTGCTGCAGAAAGATTTACAATGACCGAGGGCTGGGGAGATGCCAAGCTTTGCAAGTCGACTCAAAGGTGAAGGGTAGAGGGAGAACGTTCTCCCACAGAGGTCGTAGTCTTCGAGATTGCACACTTTCAACGTTCATGAAAGAAATACTGATAGTTCCTCCATTCATTTTATAAAATGTTCGCAAACCTGGAATAATACTTATCTGAGGGGCTTCCTGCTTCCTCTCCCAGTATATTTTTTTCAATATTATTTTTATATAATTGTAATGCATAATTTTAAGTTAGTGTAAGTTAGTATAAGATAGATTAAAACCATCAAACATTTGCACAGTTAATATGTAAACTGAACAATGTAATGTCTACCAAAAATAAAATTATAATAATAAAAAAATATGTAATAAATAGTGAAGCTAAGATACTACCTGATTTTAGTTCATTATTTCTTGAGTCAGAATTTCATTAGAATCTCGAAAAATAATTATCTAATTTATAGCATTTTATACCTATTTTCTAACAATTATTTTTATAAATATGAATGAAAAATTAATATATTTTATCATCAAGAAGAAACATGACTTTAAAACCAAAATAAACCTAAAATTCAATACAGTTCATATGAATGGCTGCTATAAATGAGGTTGTTTTGTGACAAACAAAACTTTAGTGTTTCTAACCCTCGAAGTCATCAGATTGACTTTCCTAGTTAGCTATTCTCCGAGATCTTAGCAATAGTGCTAATCACTTAATTTTTCCCTTATTTGTAGTTCCATAGAATAGGAATTAGTTTCTTCAATTGATGAACTGATGATTCAGTATTATAAAACGCGCGGGATAATGTTCAGCGTTATTGTGAATATCACTAATTAATAAATCCTCTTTAAATTATATTTTGCTTTTAAACGTTATTTACTTAGAAATTAAACAGTTTCGTGCCTAAAATCGTGAGCCATAATACTTAAATTTTAACTCTCAAACTGGAGTATTTCCCGTTTATATTAGATATAGATAGAGGTAAATGTGGTGATAGAGCCCTCTTGGTATCTTTTCATACATCGCAAACATTCTAGCAGGAACGATTTTAACAACTAGTTTAATACCTCCTTTTGCCGTCATAGCTCTGTGATTCAGTTGTAAATGACAGCTGATGTGAAACAGAGGTGTTCCTGTTTTCTCGGTTCTAAAAGCTTTGGAAGGTAAATCTTTGGCTTTTAATTATAGTTTGAGTTCGCTTACACCGATTTTAATTAACGAATTAAATCAGAATGTTATAAACATTCTTTTTATGCCTGCAATCTGTAATATCGAACGTGTCAAGGACTGGTTTTAGTTTGCAAAATTTTAATATGGCTATGGTTGTAAAATGAGCCCCCGACTATGGTACGTATATAAGTTCCGAACTTTAACGCATGCTAACGAATTGCACACACTACAACGTTTGTTCGTACTATTTTTGTTTTCGATGCCACGAAAGATTATAGGCCCAAAACAAAAAGAAACTAGTGATACTATAGAATGGTACAGACGTACGTCTCGTACTAGTTAGTTTTCTAATTTGGTTGGTTGGGGCTAGCTTTTCGGTCGTGCCCCTTCCTCTTGCCAGCTGCCATCTATCGCCACCCAAACACCATTGTTTTCTCATTTACTCAATTTTTCGATTTCCTAATGGCAGAACCGAAAAATTACTTTAAGAATATTATTGAAGAGTAAAACCTCGTTCTACAAGCAAATTTTCTTTGAAAAAATTGGTGCCATTTTTACGAAAATGCTGTCTAAGTGTTACTGTAAATGAGAAATTTGAAGCTCTTTTTCACAGAAAACTATTGAGATTTTGAAAACCTTTATTGAACGTTGTTTGAAGCACTTCCACTCACAAATGCAATAATATATACAAATAAACGGAAATGTGCCTGCTAACGTCGTGAGAGAGATTTCAAAACAATTTCATTTGTGTAATTTTTTAAAAACAAAATAATATAGAAAAATGAATTTGATGTCATATTAAACAGCGTATTTGCATTATCCGTGCAAAAATTTTAAAGAAAAAATTTCGAAGCGATTTTGAAAAATGGTGCGTGAATGTTTCTGAAAATTCAGTGATTTGAGCTCATTTTTACAGAAAACTTGTGAGTTTTCGAGAAACTTCATACATCATTGCGCATGTGTTTGTAAATGAAATGTTCATATGTTCAAAAATGCAATAATATGAACAAACAGCATCTAATGTAAATATTAACGAAGTGAGGGACAAGTAAAATAATACATTAGAGTACTTTTAAAAAATGGAGCTAAATAGCGTATGTCTTCTTATAGAGTCTATCTCTATCCCAAAAGTAAAAAGAAAAAATCTGGAACTGTTTTCGAGAAAACGCCATATTAGCCCCAATATACTATGAGTCTGTGAAAATCACATTTTCATGCATTATAACACTTTAAATTGCTGATTTTGCAAAACTCATATTATTGAACTTTAATGTTTTGTAAAAATAAGACGATATACTGTACATGAAATTTAATATTTACTTGTATTTTACACAAAACACATTCATTCCATTCCATTTAACGTATAGACATCCAGATAGCATTTTCTTAGGGTAGAATGTCTTTCTACACTAATTATATATAAAAATGCTTCTAACACGACCGGAAAGCGAAATGCAAAAGCACATTACCACAAGTGCTACATGAAATACTAGTTTAGAATAAAAAAAGTGAATAAGCGTTCTCGGCGTTACATTTAACAATTTTTCGGTGCGAAATAGATTTTTTCATTTTTAAATACACAATGAATCCGGCGCCAAAAGCCTGGCTTCTTTATATTTCTTCTGGTGAGTTAGCTGCAACTTTCTTCTCCTGCTAACCTGGCTGAATGTTCCCTGGCACTCACGAATATGTTCAACGGTAAACAGTTTTACGTCCATCACAAATGCTTGGATCTCCTCTGGTAATGAACCCAGCATGAGTCAAATTAATCAAAATGAGGTCGCACGAGAGATCGGGCAGTGACGGTGTCGATTGTCTGTCCAGGAGACGCCATTTGGGCCGTTATTCTGCGACCCTCCTCGGGGCGAAACGACGGCCGTCTCCCAGACAGCGGCGTACTTTTCTCGTCACCTCGAAGTAAGGACTAAAATGTAACTTGTGAGAAACGTTACTGTCGCAGGGTCATATGTACTGAAAAGAAACATAAGATGTTCCCATTTAATTTTATGTGGGCAATTATTGTAATCAACATACCTAGAATTACCCCATGTTTATCGTAATAATACAAATAGTGATGAGACCATGCGGTATTATCTATAATTTATAGTATAATTGTAATACACTTCGTCTTTGATTGTCAAATGATTTGGGGATTATTTATTGAAAATTTCCTAATAATAATTTTATAAACGTTCCTCGCTTACCTCCTATGATAATATAATTCTTGTCAGTATTGCATGACTATGTTAAAGAGATTTAATGGGTAATCTGTTCTGCTTGTTGGTCAATTAGGACTTGCTTTATATTCATGCCTAATGGAAAAGTGTTGAAATTTCTCTTCAGAGATTTTATTTCTTATATCAATATAATATCAATACAATACAATACAGTACAATACAATACACTACAGTAAATACTACTGTAGTAAATGCTTGCATATATGATTGCATGTAACAAGACCTGTGAATAGCAATGTTACTATAAAAACCTTATGTATTAAACGATATTTTTCCGATATTGGTATTTTTCTGGTTTTAATTGAATTAATATAGTTTTTTTAACTTAGACCTTACAACTATAACTCTCCGTGTAATACATCTATACATTTAGAAGAAATGAGGCCAGCAGATGAAGTTTCTGTTAGATAAGAATGAACTACTGAATTAATTACATGTCATTGCTAATATTACTCATGTCATTGAAATACTTCCACTTTTTTTTGTTTTTAATGTGTTCAATCGTTAATAACGTTTGAACACGGTGACGTGATTAACATCCTACCATTTTAAATGTGTAATTAATACAGAAGTTCATCAAGAAATCTCTTTTAAGATTATAATTTTATTCGCACAAAACACCAGTCAATTACATTACTCGAAAACACTGCTGAATTATTTCGATTAATTGTACACTGAGTTCAGTCTTGTTTACGGATGAAATGTTTCACTCCAGCGGAATAGGAGACAGAGGGTTATCACAACAAAGACTTCCACAGCATAGAGCCTCACCCTGACAGACGAGGACAACAAGCAAATGCATGAATTCTGTCAATCCGGGGGCTCGGATTCACAGGTTGACAAGTTAGTTGTTCAGAGTGGAAGTAGGTTCTCACGTCACATTGCGAATTCAGCCCTTGCTGTTACGTGACTAAGACCGTAGATTTCGTCTCCGGCCTACGCTTTCAAACGGTGTCGTGTTATTGATCGGAGCGCGTGCGACCGGGCGTGCGTGTGCGTAGTCGATTTTCGGAATTTCCCCTGCATAATTGGCCTCCGACGTCTGTCACCTGCGCGGGTCACGCGATAGCGCTAGGGAGATGAAAGTGATATTGTTCGCATTTAAGTAAGCTACTGCGTGCGATCTAATCACGCGCTTGATTCAGTCGACGTAGAAGCTGATTCTCGCGTTGCATGCGACTTCGATTTTTTGCTCTGCATTAGTGGATCTTTTCAAAACACATATTTAAGTGAGCATCTCCCGGTTCTTTGATTCAAAATTTGGCGTATTATTGTTCGATTCTTTATGAGATAAATGTAAATTAAATTAACGAAGTTTTTGCCTTTCAAAGTTCAATAATTACCTGTGTTTTGACTTAAATGTGGTCTTTCTGAAACGTAAAACTATCACCCTTAATGGCATAACCTAAAGTCTCAGTAACTAGGGGAACATGTTTTGGTTTTTATTTTCACACTTTATAATTAAATTATGAATTTGAATGTCTCATTATTAAGTGAAAATTACTATTTGTTCTTGCTATGACTAAACATGTGCTTCAAATAATGCACCTATTCTACAACTACAGTAACAGTTCTGTGTTTACTTCTCTAGTACAAATGTCTTTGAAACCGCAGCTTTTCAATGCTGCT